AAGAGAGAAGAGTCATGGATGTAATGAAGGATGTTTGGTGAGATGGAGGAAGATGATCTGCTGTCTGACAGGGCAAGATGATATTTTATATACAGTCTGTGGTCTCATTGCTATTTAGGTAATGCTAACTCATATATGATGTACAAGCAGAAGGACAAGCTGTGCAGTGATGCAGAGAGTTCCTTTGACATGGTGTCAGTAATAACACAGGAAAAAAATAAAGTGCTTGCTTTCCTAGAATGTTTGTTTTTGACTCATCTACACATTTAAATTGCAGATTTTTTTTTCTTTGGGGCTTTTCTGTGCAGTTTGGTATTGACTGATAATAACACTCTAACACTGCAATGATGCCATTAAGATAACATTTATAGTTGCAGATTAAATTGGGATAAGCACTGTTCATAATGATCTAATATTCTCTCCTCTCTTGTATTTGCAGACACAGATCTATGAGATGATTTTCAGCAGATCACAGTCCTGCCCAATGGTAAGATCAATGCTGCAAGCTCTGGAAGCTAAGCCAACGTTATTTCTGAACACTTTAATAACAGCAACACTGACCAAAGTTCGGAGCGAAGGAATAAAAATACTGAAGATAAGAAAAAAAAGCTGCAGAAAGTGATTGATGGGTATTTCAAAAGCAGCAACAAAGTTTGGCTGAATAGCTGCAAAGTACTAGACTTTAAATGGTCATACCTGTGATTATTCATTAACCATCTGATCATCAAGACTTTCATGATGCTGTTATTCTGTTTTCAGGCAGCCCAATTTTTTTCCCTCTTTTTCTAAGTCGTCACCTCGGTGACTTTTCTCTGTTTCTCCTTCATCTCAGTTCCTTTACGCTTTGCCTCAGAAAGAGGGTTACGAGTTCTTTGTGGGTCAGTGGTCCCGACACGAGCTCCACTTCACCTCCCTCATCAACGTCCAGGTAAAGTGCTTCAGACTTACAACACCTTGACATGCTTCTGGGAAAGGTCATTACTCTCTGGATTCCGGAGCTTGTGAAACTAGGCTTTACAGAGTCATTCCTTCCTTTCCTTTGGTATTTTTAACCATAAAAGATGGAAAGAGAGTCTTTATTTAGTTTTTTTACATTTTTGAAATTAGCAATTACGTTTTTTGGAAATGAGTTGATCTGTTCATGCTTGGCTATTTACAGTAACAGCAACTTTGCCCAAACTCTCGTAATTCCACTTTGAGTTTATCACGGTAAATTACCTGATGGTGTCTGTGTGCAGACGCTGGGTGAGAATGCTCCCAGTCAGCTGATCCTATACCACTACCCAGACCTGAAGGAGGAGAAGGGCATCGTGCTCATGACAGCAGAGATGGATCCCAAGTTCATAGTAAGTCCACATACGAGCCTATATGAATAGACTTCAGAGGTTTTATGTTCTTGAGAGATTCACAAATACAGCGATGCAGCGGATGTAGTGTGTCACACCTGATGTGTATTTAAGGCCTCAACATCTGTCCCTCATCTCCACAGACCGTCCAGCAGGCTCAGTGTTTGGCTAACCAGGTGCAGCTCTTCTACGGCACCCAGAGACGGGAGACTTACCGATTGGTGGAGATGTTTAACCACCACCCTGCAGAATTCAAGCACATGTCAGTCATAGCAGAGCTGGAGCAGAGCGGTTTGGGGCCTGCAAACCCTTCCACGGGTTCCTGAGATGGACTGAAGTTGCCACCAAACAGCCTGCTGAGGAACTGTTGGTCTCCGTGTACAGTCGCAAAGATATCCAAGCTTCTTTGCTCAGCACGCTCCAGTGGGATATAGCTGCTTCTTGCTCTGTGTGTGCAGTCTCCAGCAGCAGCTGTGAATTACAGAAAAAAGAACTTAAAGAAGCACAAACAGCTTCTCTCAATATTTACTACACATCTTGTGTGTTGTCAGTTTGCCTCAATGGGAAAATAATGTTGAAGTGAGCACTTCTATAATAAATAGTTCTCACTTTGTCTTGTTCTTCATATCAGACTGTGATGTAAGCAGAAGAACATTGTTCATAGGAATCCAATTAAGTAATAAATCATCTTCAAAACTGTAACCTGTTTATATAGTCAGCGTTCTAACCAGAAGAAAAACTTTAAACACAATACTGAGGCAAACAGGAAAGTCTTCACAGCCTGGATTGTGACTGACCACTTATTAATGATCAGTGTGGTATCATTCCATACAACTGTTACTGTACGTTAGAGTTCACATTAACCAAATATTTATGACAGATTTTATTTATTTTTTTAACAGTGATGGAAACATTTCACGTGTGTCCTTCCTTTTGACACATAACACTGATGGATTTATCAGAAACTTCCATAATAACACCCTTAACAACAGTGCAGCAGAGGTGGGCAGTCTCTGCATAAAATGACATAAA